AGCGGCTGCAGCCTGGCTCACCCGGAAGAGGCCACACTGGTGTGGGGTGGGCTCCTTGCAGGAACCCGGCACGTGAGTGCAGGAGCTTCCCCAGTGTGCGAGCCCTGGCATCCCAGGGGAGGGTAGCAGGAGAAGTGAGAGCAAGCTCGGTGGACACCCTGCATTCTCACTGCACCTCTATCCCCGTCACATCTGCCCCCAGGTAGCCGGCGAGAGGTTGCAGCCCCCCACCCGGATGCCATGAGAGGTTGGTCACCACCACTTACCCCCAGTTCCCCATTCCAGCCCGGGGCCCAGCCCCGATCGGGCCAACTCCCTCTCACACTGCCACATCTCTGATTCTACTATCTCCCTCTGCAGGGCACCATCTATGGGGCAATAGGTCAGGGCTAGGCCCCCCGCTTCACTCCCTCAGCACCTGGGAGCCGGATGGAAGCCCCACCCCCTGCCACTGCCACTGGTCGCTGTCTGTGGGGCAATTGGCAGGGCAATCGGGCCCCCACTCCTAGCTGCCTTGGCCTGGCACTGCCTGCTCACCTGCTCCACCATCCTGCCATGGTCCTGCTCTTGTTGGGGCCCATCGGAGCTGGCAGCACCTCTACTGCTGCCTGCTGCCAACACTAGGTCGCCAACATCCGCCATGTTCCACGCCACCCCCTGGTGGTCAGCACACATCATAGCGAGCAGTCGAACTCCCGGTCTTCCAGTCAAACGACTGCCCAAGGGGACAATTTGCATATTAGGCTTTTATTATATAGGATTGGCACCTGGATAGTTCAAGATAACCTCCCTATTTTAAGGTCAGCTGATTAGCAACTTTAATTCCATCTGCAACTTTAATTTCCCTTTGCGTTTAACATAATATATTGACATTTGGGAAGGGGGTAGGCACATTACTCTGCCTACCACATATATTATCTGCAAGGTTTCTAAATAGAAATTTTAAAGTAAAAATATTAGTTTCTACACTCAAAAAATTCTACTGTTTACATTTAGAGAGAAAAATTAGTAAATTCTTGGGATTACTGGAAAAGCCTTATAATAAACTAGAGACCCGATAAATGAAATTTGTGCAAGGGGCTCAGCCCTCACAGCCCAGCTTTGTCCGGAAGGTTATCCAGAAGGACATCCGGAAGGTCGTTTAGCTGTCCAGTCTAATTAGCATATTACACTTTTATTATTGTAGATGAGTATTTATGACTTGTGCCCAAACAGATACTTTGGTTAATTTATACTAACTTACTGCTTAAGAAAAAGTACAATAATCACACTTGTATATTTTGACTGGTTGTTGATGTTCCTTGGTCATCAACAATAAAGATTTTACCATTAGATGGAGTAGAAATATTCTCATAACCTTCATTTCATTCTGCGTATTTCTCCTAACTTTTCAGTGTCCTCAGAGGAACCAGAAACCTCTTCTTTTTTCCCCTCCTCTTTGGAAGTAGTGAGTTTTTCCAGGGATTCTACTACTTCATTTCTCAACTCATCTTCAGATTCTTCAAAATTTCTGAAATAATGAACAGTAAAAATCAACTTCATGATATCAAAACACTGAAGAATACATATAAAAATTAGCTTCCCAAAGGAACAGCAGCCTCCTGATCACCACACCGTCTGTCTGAGGAACAGCAGCTGTGTGAAGCCTCCCCCCACCAGCCAGAGGAGCCACCACAACTGTGAACAGCACCCACCAGAGGAGCTGCTAC